CGGAGGCAGGGCAGACATGACGAACGCTCTGTCCCGACGAGAACATTCCACTGGAAGTTAACCAACAAAGCAGTAGGATATTCCGTTGGTACGGAGTGTGTGGAAAGGTTTGTTTCATAATTTCCATAGTGACCAAGATCAGGCACGTCTTCTACCTGTTTTGACGAAGGGAGCTAGTCACTGATAACACGCTTTACCATCAAGTATTCTCGGCACCTTACTTAATGGAGAAAGCTTGCGCATCGCCGTAGGAATTCGACTAGGAGCACACAGGGGCTTGACAAATTGCCTCAAGCCCCTGTGGTAGCAGCGTTGACGAGTTTGGGCTCCACGGATTTGCGTATAAGAAAAGTGCTGGTAGGTTTCTCGGCACGGTTCTTTGAACGATGGCAACCGAAGGGCTCTTGTCTCTATAAATGTCCCCTGGGTTTAGAGCCTTGTTCGAATATTTAGAGAAGGTGGCAGGAGACCCGACGGTATTACATTGGTACCTTGGGAGAGGTAAAGCCCTAGTGTGGAATGATACTTGCGTAGACACTCTGGCAGCCTCTTATCTCGTTTAGAGCCGGGGCGGCATCAGAGGCAGCTGAACTGAAAGAGTAAGTGGCGAAAATATTAGTCCCTGAGAGATGACTACATATTTGTGCTATTTGCTGTAGAGACTTTACGTGGTAGAGTCATGCTGCAGCTATATTAGTAGTATAGCTATTACACGAATGGGTCGGCCCGACCGGGGAAGAACCACGCTCTCACAGATTACCAGCGTAAAATAGCAGCTTAACGCTGCTGTGTTTTGTGCGTGAGTGTAGAGAATCAGAGACCCTTTTTGCTTGAAATGAGGCATCCCTTCTTAGTCCTCCTTAGACTGTGTGCTCGTTTGTCACCCTTATCCTATAAGTGTTGTATAAGTGTTCCCTACTTAAGGGTTCTTCTATCTCAAGTTATTAAGTAATTAGAAACCTAACAACATCTTATAGTGACCATATCAATATTAAAAATCTTTTGTGTTTTGATTAAATAGACTGACTTGGCCATCGCATGAAAACACAATGTATCTCACAAGTATTACATATTATATTAAATTAGATTGTTTAGTGCGATTGCCAAGTCAATCTATGTATTTACAACATAAAAAAACGACGGGTTGCACTCCGGGAGTGCCGGCAGAAGTGAAAACTTGAATATTAACGTTGTGCATTTTTGATATTTTGGAATGGCGGAGATTATTTATTATTATCTTATTTCATTTATTTTCATTCGAAACTATTTGTTTGGTAAACCTACACCGCACATGTGCTTATTGTGATGTTATGAAAATATAGGTTAATGCTATAAAGTATAAACATATTACAAATATTACATCTATAATGTGTAAGTACATAATATGTATCTATATTAATAATTTCGTCAAGCAGTACAGTAGACTCGATCGAAACCTAATCTATAAAATAATAAATAAAATTATATTAATTAATAATGATAATTAATTAAACCTAACCTAACCTGAATAATACTACTACGCCGCGCCGGCTGTCTACTATCCGTCCGTCTTACGAATTTTTGTTTAGGACACGTGACCTGACGCGAGTTTAACATTTTTTACCCATTACAAAAAAGTGCACAACGCCGCTAAAGAAGTTTTCACTTCAAAAGATTTTTAATATTGATATGATCACTATAAGATGTTGTTAGGTTAGCTAATTACGTAATAACTTGAGACAGAAGAACCCTTAATTAGGGACTGAATAAATTAACCGACTTGGTATTATATGGATCTCAAAACTTCTTACGGTAGAAGAACTGAGTTGCGAGACTTGGTTTTTTTACAAGTTATGTTTTTGATGTTTTCTTCTGTTCTTTTCTTCTTCTTCTTTTTCCTTCTGTTGACCATTTTACAAGTTACCTTTGAAAATAATTATATCTAGATACTTATCTACATCTATAATTCCGTTATATTATACATATACAGGTACACTGATTCATTCACTGCAAATGTACCTTTGTAATCCTATATATTTATATAGGATTACAAAGTTATTTATGCAGTTGGTGTATCTAGAAAACTGGACGGAAATTACAAAATATTTTAATTTTTCCTTGACTTATATACTAAACACTAATTGTATTCTAAATTTGAAGCTCCTACGTCTGCCAGAAGTGCCTTAGAGTTGATGATCGGTCATTCAGTGAGTGACAAAATTAAGAAACTTTGACTGGTTATAATTCTTAAACTACAGGTTCAAATTGAATAAAATTTGAAATATTCCGTGTTTATACAATGCATGCTTAGTTACTGAAAATTTATGTTTTTAGTTTTAACCACAACAAAGTTATAGGGGGTCGTAAATGGCCTGAACAGCTTCGAGAAAAGGATGGTACGGCCATGCCGCTTTTTTGCTCGACTTGGCGGGGGCACTGCCATGCTCCTAGATATTCTTATAGAATGTTCTTTATGAGTATAAGTGTGCGAAATTTTATTGTATATTATAGGCCCCATTGACATGATATTTTTTCTAATTAGTGCTGTTTTGTAATTACCAGTATGTAATAAGTTTTTGTACTGTATTCTCATAGGACCCGAACGAGTCCTAGTCTCGGCTAGTGACGGAAACAAATTTAAATTCGTTTTAACAAAAATTGCAATTTCCAAAATATACAAACACGGGAAGGTAAGTATTTTTAGTAAACAAAACCTTCAAATTGGTGCAAGAAGTCCATGATAAGCTGTCAGGCGAGTACTTTTATTTACTTTATGTGATAGGTAATACACCACATATGCTAACTTGCTCAGTTTGTTATAAACGTTTTCGGAATGAGGTGAGCTTGCTGTCAACTAATATAGTACCTACGAATTTTGCAATATTTGTTGAGTCCACATTTTGTCCATTATAAATAATCATTACGCTAGGCGGGGGTGTCCGTTGGTAAAAGTACATTACTTTTTTTTTAGATTAATAACTAAGTTATTAACGTCAAGCCATTTAATAATACTTTTTAATGTTCTATTAATCACACCTTCATAATTTGTTATATCATTACATTTTATTATGACCGTACTATCAGCTGCAAATAATACCATAGGATGTTGTGTATGCCGTGGTAAATCATTAATATATAGGAGAAACAATGGTGGCCCCAGAACGCTACCCTGTGATACACCACTTTAGACTTCTCTACTGTCTGATGTATATTTAATCTCGCGTTTGGTCTTAGAACATATTCTAGAGATTTCTGTGTATTGCTTTCGGCCACTCAGGTAAGAGGTTATAAGCTCCAACACATTTCCCCTTATGCCGTAGGAGTAAAGCCTTTTTAAAAGGACATCGTGACTTACGTAGTCGAACGCCTTATTCATATCCGTCAATATGGCACAAACAGGCTCTTTGTTATCAACAATCGTCATAATATTAGTTAAAAGATTGTATATTGCCATATTAATATTTAAATTTTTTCTAAATCCCATTTGTTTATTGATCAGTATATTATATTCATTCAGATATTTATCTATTGATTCGTATATATAATCTTTTCAAATACCTTACAAAAAATTGGAATCAATGCTAATGGACTATAGTTGGACATATCTTCCTTATTATTCTTTTTATGAAGCGGTTTTATTACAACAGTTTTCAGGCTATTTGGATATATACCAGAAGCAATACTAATATTTACAATGTGACTTAAAGGCCCAGCTATAACAACGCTGATAGATTTAACGATATTAGTTGTTATACCATCGTAGACCATGACTTTGTGTATTTTTAAGGGTTTTGATTACTCTATGTCGTCTGGAATGATCGGAGTCATCTTTTATTAGTTTCATTTTTTACTTGGTCAATAAAAAAATCGTTAAATAATGCTGCTATTTCTTTAGGATTCTCAATTGTCACATTATGGTTGATAATTTTTCAAAGAGGTTCTCTTTTATATTTAATATTATAGATTATGTGCCACGCAGCCTTAGATTTATTTTGGGTTTTATTAATAAAGTTATTATTTTGTGCCCTTTGAGTAAGTCTGATGACGTTTTTGAAGATTTGTGAGTAGGTTTTGAATATTTTTTGTTTTCGCTTGAAAGATTGAATCTGTATTTCCACAGCAAGCTTCTTTACTCCTATTACAAAGTTTAATGCCTTTATAGATCCATTTGATTTGATCTTCTGATCGAATTTTTATCCAATTAGTAGGAAAACATTGATCATAAAGGAGTAGAAAAATTTCCATAAACATGTCATATGCATAATTGGGATTACTTTCGCTGTATACGTTTAAGATATATAAACTCTTCAAAAGATTATTAAACCATAATATTTTCCTTTGAAAAGTCCCTTTTCTGAATGCGCCAATACCTAAGTTTGCAAGTTCGACTAACTTGAATTTTAAGAATTTGAGCTGAGTGATCAGATATTGTAAAGTCAATAACTTCGCTAGAGCATTTTATGTTTGCGTTAAGAGCAAAATTGTCCAAACATGTTAGGCTTCTTGTTCTCGTCGGCTGGTTTATTTCCAACTTAAGGTTGTAGTTTAGGAGCAAAAATTCAAAGCCCAAAGTGCATCTATTACGTTTCAATATGTCTCTGTGAAAGTCTCCGCATAATACCACCTTTGAATTTGTTTTCTTACACATCTCTTTTTACAAAGCATGTAAGGTATCGTAAAAAAGATTAATGTTGGACATGTAGGGTGAGCTATAAATACATACTACTATTAAAGCAGATATAGAATAACAAAGTTCCAGCTTTTACATATGTTCCTCAGAAACTCAGTCTAACTCTCAGACTATTAGATAATTTAATTGATTGTAGGCGATGGCAATAAATAGCAGAACCAGAGTAACCAACAAAACGCGATGGACCAGTAAGATGAAGTAACAAATGACCGGCCATATAGCTCGAAGAAGCGATAACCGAAGGGGAAGAAAGGTACTCGAGTAGCAGCCCTGTACCGTTCGAATGGTATATAATGATGATAATGATGAGTGGCAATAATTAGTATATTACTCCTGAGGATCCGGCGAGGAGTACAGTGCCTTCCAGAGCATCTTCGGGATCGTAATCTGTTACTACAGTCAGTGAGTTCTCGAAACCCGTCTTCGTGGCTTTGAACTTTACGAAATTAGCTTTTCTTTCATTTCTGAAAAAAACAAATTAAATTAAATTAACAAGAATAACTGTGGTCCAATAAACAAAATCAATGATTCATTTTGTAAACGATTTTACTTTATGTTCAGGCTAAAAAGGCCTTCAATATTATCTGAGACTTTATGCTTTAGGCAACATTTAGGGACATAGTATATGTAAGTGAACGTACCTATTCTTTTGTTTGAAATAGTAGATGCTATTGAAAATACAGCACATGCCATATTGAGTTAGTATAGAATCAAAAAGAACGTTGCAGGGGTATATTTTTCGTTGAAAAATGCACCGCTTCAGGAAACGATCACAGCGTTGTGGCAACAAACTCATGACGTCGAGTGCCTGATAATATTAACGGTGATTTAGAAAATATCTTATTTTGCAGAAACTAAATTACTTAATTATCATCATCATCATCATCATTGTGATGCCGTGTAGTGGCGGTTAAGAATATCCACTACCCCATATCTTCCCGTGGGTGTCGTAAAAGGCGACAAAGGGAAACAGGCAGGGGATGGGCAGCAGCATCTTCCTGGTAACGGCAAAAATACAATAAAAAACTGCGGTTGCCAACCCGCTCGCCAGGCGTGGCTACTATGGCAATATACCACCCATGATGAAAGTTGTGAAGAGACGGCCCCCAGTCCCCGGTGGCCCCGCTATTCCTGGTTACGGTGGCGACCATGGTAACGGCGGGGCAGGGGTTGCTAAGAATCTCCGGTGGAGGTTCGGTTGCCCCCTACGACGACTCGACCTGGCAACATACAACGCACGCAACCTGAGGACTGACGAGAAAATTGTGGAGCTGGAAGAAGAGATAGACAAGTTACGCTGGCATATTATAGGAGTATCCGAAGTCCGAAGAGAGGGGGAGGACACGGTAATCCTCAAATCCGGCAAATTGCTCTATTACCGGGAGGGCGACCATCTGTCCCAAGGAGGTGTCGGATTTATCGTCCACAAGTCTCTCGTTAACAACGTTGTAAAGATTGAGAGTGTGTCGGCGAGGGTTGCGTACCTTATACTCAGAATCACCAAACGGTATTCGCTGAAGGTCATACAGGTTTACGCACCAACCTCGGCACACCCCGATCAGGAGGTGGAGGAAATGTATGAGGATATCTCTAGAGCCATGCATTCCTGCAAAACCCAATATACGGTGTTAATGGGAGACTTCAATGCAAAACTAAGCACAAGAGAGAACGGTGAGCTGAAAGTGGGGAAATTTGGAATAGGGCAACGGAACCCAAGGGGCCAGCAGCTGGCCGACTTCATGGAGAAAGAGAGACTATTTATGATGAACTCTTTCTTCCAGAAGCGGCCCCACAGGAAGTGGACCTGGTCGAGCCCCGACGGTTCGACAAAATATGAGATTGACTTCATTATGACGACCAGACGACAACTGTTAAGTGATGTCTCAGTGATCGCGAGGGTGAAAACCGGCAGCGATCACCAAATGGTTAGAGGTACACTGAACCTAAACGTTAAGTAGGAGAGGTCTCGTCTAATGAATTCAACGCTCCGTCCCCCTCGTGCTCTAATCCAAAGTCCTGAAACCTTTCAGCTCGAGTTATAAAACCGTTTTCAGTGCCTAGAAGACTGCAATGAAGTGGACGATTTGAATGAAAAGCTCGTAGAAACTGTCCATGCGGTCGGAGCTAAGTTCTGCAAGACCCGCCGCAGAAGAACACAAAAACTCTCCGACCACACTCTTAATCTCATGGCTGTTAGACGGGAGATGAAGCTACATTCTTCAATAGATTTGACAGCATACAGGCAACTGAACAGACAGATCTCCAAATGCATGCGGCGGGACTTACGCAACTTCAATACAGCTCGTATTGAAGAAGCGATCGAGCGGAACCAAGGCTCCAAAGTCTTTGCCAGAGATCTATCTGCCAGAAAGAGCCAACTGTCAAAGCTGAAGACCGAATGTGGCAGCATCGTTTCCGGGGCACCTGAGATTTTAAGTGAGATTGAGAGGTTCTATGGGCAGCTGTACACGTCATCGTTGGAGCCACACGCGAGTGTGAGTAACGATCCAAGAGCGAGTCTTATCCGATATTATTCCGATGATATCCCGGACGTCAGTCTGAGCGAGATTAGAATGGCTCTCCAGCACCTTAAAAATGGCAAGGCCCCAGGCGAGGATAGAATTACAGCGGAGCTTCTGAAAGCGGGTGGAAAACCGGTACTTGAAGTCCTTCAGAAGCTCTTTAATTCCGTCCTCCATGGTGGCATTACACCGGATGCGTGGAGCAGAAGTGCGATGGTCTTGTTCTTCAAGAAAGGCGACAACGCTCTCTTGAAGAACTACAGACCGATTTCCCTTCTGAGCCGCGTCTACGTACTGTTTTCGAGAGTTATTACGAATCGTCTCGCGCGCAGACTTGACGACTTCCAGCCTCCCGAACAAGCCGGTTTCCGAAAAGGCTTTAGCACCATAGACCACATACATACCCTTCGGCAAATTGTACAAAAGTCAGAGGAGTACAATTTGCCACTATGTCTGGCGTATGTGGACTATGAGAAAGCCTTTGATTCCGTCGAAATTTGGACGGTGCTGCAGTCCCTTCAGCGTTGCCAAGTTGACTGTCGGTATATCGAAGTGTTGAAGTGCTTGTACAGTAGGGCTACGATGGCTATCCGAGTACAGAACCAGATAACGAAACCTATCCAATTGCAGAGAGGTGTAAGACAGGGTGACGTCATATCCCCGAAACTCTTTACCGCTGCATTGGAAGATGTTTTCAAGCTTCTGGACTGGAAAGGATACGGTATCAACATCAATGGCGAATACATCACTCACCTTCGATTTGCCGACGATATAGTCCTTATGGCAGAATCGCTGGAGGACCTAAGCACTATGCTCAATGACCTCAATAGTGTTTCCCAACGGATAGGTCTTAAGATGAACATGGACAAAACAAAGATTATGTTTAATGTCCATGTCACACCTATGCCGGTAGTTGTTGGGAACACTAAGCTCGAAGTTGTTGACGAGTATGTTTACCTGGGACAAATAGTCCGACTTGGTAAGTCCAACTTCGACCGAGAGGTCAATCGACGGATTCAACTCGGCTGGGCAGCGTTCGGGAAATTACGGCACATCTTCTCGTCGGGTATACCTCAAAACTTGAAAACGAGACTGTACACCCAGTGCGGGTTGTCAGTGATGACATACGAAACTGAGACGTAGTCCTTCACTGCTGGCCGGATGAGGAAGCTCAAGGTCGCTCAGCGAGCTATGGAGAGGGCTATGCTTGGAGTTTCTCTGCGTGATAAACTCAGAAATGAGGATATCCGCAGTAGAACCAGAGTGACCGATATAGCCCAACGGATTAGTAAGCTGAAGTGGCAATGGGCCGGCCATATAGCTCGAAGAACCGACAACCGATGGGGAAGAAAGGTTCTCGAGTGGCAGCCTCGTACCGGCAGGCGAAGTGTAGGGCGTCCCCCCACTAGATGGAGTGACGACCTGGTAAGATATGCAGGAAGTCGATGGATGCAGGTGGCTCAGGACCGTGCTTTGTGGCATTCTTTGGGGGAGGCCTATGTTCAGCAGTGGACTTGTGAAGGTTGAGTAGGTTTCGTACTCTGGTTCTGTACTCGGATAGCCATCGTAGCCCTACTGTACAAGCACTTCAGCACTTCGATATAGCGACAGTCCACTTGGCAACGCTGAAGGGACTGCAGCACCGTCCAAATTTCGACGGAATCAAAGGCTTTCTCATAGTCCACATACGCCAGACATAGTGGCAAATTGTACTCCTCTGACTTTTGTACAATTTGCCGAAGGGTATGTATGTGGTCTATGGTGCTAAAGCCTTTTCGGAAACCGGCTTGTTCGGGAGGCTGGAAGTCGTCAAGTCTGCGCGCGAGACGATTCGTAATAACTCTCGAAAACAGTACGTAGACGCGGCTCAGAAGGGAAATCGGTCTGTAGTTCTTCAAGAGAGCGTTGTCGCCTTTCTTGAAGAACAAGACCATCGCACTTCTGCTCCACGCCTCCGGTGTAATGCCACCATGGAGGACGGAATTAAAGAGCTTCTGAAGGACTTCAAGTACCAGTTTTCCACCCGCTTTCAGAAGCTCCGCTGTAATTCTATCCTCGCCTGGGGCCTTGCCAGTTTTAAGGTGCTGGAGAGCCATTCTAATCTCGCTCAGACTGACGTCCGGGATATCATCGGAATAATATCGGATAAGACTCGCTCTTGGATCGTTACTCACACTCGCGTGTGGCTCCAACGATGACGTGTACAGCTGTCCATAGAACCTCTCAATCTCACTCAAAATCTCAGGTGCCCCGGAAACGATGCTGCCACATTCTGTCTTCAGCTTTGATAGTTGGCTCTTTCTGGCAGACAGATCTCTGGCAAAGACTTTGGAGCCTTGGTTCCGCTCGATCGCTTCTTTAATACGAGCTGTATTGAAGTTGCGTAAGTCCCGCCGCATGCATTTGGAGATCTGTCTGTTCAGTTGCCTGTATGCTGTCAAATCTATTGAAGAATGTAGCTTCATCTCCCGTCTAACAGCCATGAGATTAAGAGTGTGGTCGGAGAGTTTTTGTGTTCTTCTGCGGCGGGTCTTACAGAATTTAGCTCCGACGGCATGGACAGTTTCCACTATCTTGTCATTCATATCGTCCACTTCATTGCAGTCTTCTAGGCACTGAAAACGGTTTTGTAACTCGAGCTGAAAGGTTTCGGGACTTTGGATTAGAGCTCGAGGGGGACGGAGCGTTGAATTCATTAGCCGAGACCTCTCCAACTTAACGTTTAGGTTCAGTGTGCCTCTAACCATTCGGTGATCGCTACCAGTTTTCACCCTCGCGATCACTGTGACATCACTGAACAGTTGTCGTCTGGTCGTCGTAATGAAGTCAATCTCATTTTTTGTCGAACCGTCGGGGCTCGACCAGGTCCACTTCCTGTGGGGCCGCTTCTGGAAGAAAGAGTTCATCATAAATAGTCTCTCTTTCTCCATGAAGTCGGCCAGCTGTTGGCCCCTTGGGTTCCGTTGCCCTATTCCAAATTTCCCTACTTTCAGCTCACCATTCTCTCTTGTGCCTAGTTTTGCATTGAAGTTTCCCATTAACACCATATATTGGGTTTTGGAGGAATGCATGGCTCTAGAGATATCCTCATACATTTCCTCCACCTCCTCATCGGGGTGTGCTGAGGTTGGTGTGTAAACCTGTATGACCTTTAGCGAATACCGTTTGGTGATTCTGAGTATAAGGTACGCAACCCTCGTCGACACACTCTCAATCTTTACAACGTTGTTAACGAGAGACTTGTGGACGATAAATCCGACACCTACTTGGGACAAACGGTCGCCCTCCCGGTAATAGAGCAAGTTGCCGGATTCGAGGATTACCGTTTCCTCCCCCTCTCTTCGGACTTCGGATAATCCTATAATATACCAGCATAACTTGTCTATCTCTTCTTCCAGCTCCACAATCTTCTCGTCAGTCCTCAGGGTGCGCGCGTTGTATGTTGCCAGGTCGAGTCGTCGTAGGTGGCAACCGAACCTCCACCGGAGATTCTTAGCACCCCCTGCCCCGCCGTTACCATGGTCGCCACCGTAGCCAGGAATGGCAAGGCCGCCGGGGACTGGGAGCCGTCTCTTAGTTACTTTATCCATTTGGGGGGTATTTGCCATAGTTGCCACACTTTGCGAGCGGGTTGGCAACCGCAGTTTTTTATTGTATTTTGCTGTTATCAGGAAGATGCTGCTGCCCATCTCCTGCCTGTTTCCCTTTGTCGCCTTTTACGACACCCACGGGAAGATATGGGGTAGTGGATATTCTTAACCGCCATTACACGGCGGCTTACTTAAGTATGCAAAATTGAAATAGTGGTTATTAACGAGATTTTCTTTAATCTTGTAAGGCTTCTAAAAGTGGCTAAAAGTGTTTTCCTTTAACATTATTTTGTTATACCATGAGAGTGCAAGCTCTCATTTCATCTTATTTTAAGTAGCCACTTTCTAGTATATATACAGATTACTATGTGGCCACTAGAGCTTATATAATAAAATCCTACAGCGCCAATTCGATACAAAATATGATCGTTTGTCTATCAATATGTTATTGAGTTTCTTAACTTTACGCCGGTGCACGTGGGTGTCAGTAATATTTAAAAGTATTGTAGTATCTACACAGGCTAATCCATACAGTATACCTATTGGGCAGGTAATGATGCTTACTTACTAGTGAAGCGTCAGTAGCCTAATAGCAGGGCGCGGACCGCGAACTCGAAAGATCCTAGGTTCGAATCCACCATCCGACTACTGTCGTGAACCACTTCTAACACAAGCATTTCAAGCTTATCAGAAGTGGTTAAAGGGAATATTAGTGATGTTTAATAGCATTACTAGTATTCAAAAAAAAATCAGACTTCAGATATAATTACTAATACTCACACTGTAGCGATTAGCTTCTATAAGATCTTGTAAATACTTTAGCTCATTAGTGTTTATTTTTTCCAACAGTGAAGTACCAAAATTAAAGCGCAGAAGCTGTGAAACTACTTTTTTTAAGTCTAATGTTAGATTCCCGTCTCTGCGAAAGTAAAATTTTGTCAGTATTTATGTTACACTAATACTAGTTTTTTTCTACGTGGTAGAGCCATGCTGCAACTATATTATGGTTATAGCACGAATGGGTCGGCTCGAACGGGGAAGGACCACGCTCTCACAGAAAACCAGCGTAAAATAGCAGCTTAACGCTGCTGTGTTTCGTATGGTGAGTGTAGAGAACCGGAGACCCTTTTTACTGGCAAAGACGCATTCCATCTTAGTCCTCACGGGTGACAACGCATCTGCATCTTGAGTCTTTATTGAGGATAGATGTAGATGTCTATGGGTCACAGTAACCACTTACCATCAGGTGGTCTGTGTGCTCGTTTGTCACCAGTCCTATAAAAAAAAACTAATACTATATTGATATTAGCTTAACAATCGTGATAGCCTACGAAATGCAATTTAAAGCACTACATACTCTGCAATGTAGGAAACATTACCAAGAGGAAATAATAATCATGGAGAAAGAGGGACTCTTTATGATGAACTCTTTCTTCCAGAAGCGGCCCCACATGAAGTAGATCTGGTCGAGCCCCGACGGTTCGACAAAAAATGAGATTGACTTCATTATGACGACCAGACATCAACTGTTCAGTGATGTCTCAGTGATCGCGAGGATGAAAACTGGTAGCAATCACCGAATGGTTAGAGACACACTGAACCTAAACTTTAAGTTGGAGAGGCCACGTCTAATGAAGTCAACGCTCCGTCCCCCTCGTGCTCTAACTCAGAGTCCCGAAACCCTTCAGCTCGAGTTACAAAATCGTTTTCAGTGCCTATAGAAAATTGAATTGCAGTGGACGATATAAATGACAAGTTCGTGGAAACTGTCCATGCGGTTGGAGTTAAGTTTTGCAAGATCCACCGCAGAAGAACACAAAAACTTTCCGATCACACTGTTAATCTCACGGCTGTTAGACGGAAAATGAAGCTACAGTCTTCAGTAGATTTGATAGCATACAGGCAACTGAACAGACTCCAAATGCATGCGGCGGAACTTACGAAACTTTAATACTGCTCGTATTGAAGAAGCGATCAACCGGAACCAGGGCTCCAAAGTCTTTACCAGAGATATATTTGCCAGAAAGTGCCAACTGTTGAAGCTGAAGAGTACCATCTGCCACTTTTTCTTGCGGATGTGGACCATGAGAAAGCCTTTGATTCCGTCAAAATTTGTGAGGTACTGCAGTCCCTCCAGCGGTGCCGAGTGGACAGTCGGTATATCGAAGTGCTGAAGTGTTTGTACAGTTGGGCTATGATGGCTATCCGAGTACGGAACCAGAGCACGAAACCTATCCAACTGCAGATAGGTGTAAGACAGGGTGACGTTATATCCCCTAAATTCTTCACCGCTGCATTGGAAGACGTTTTCAAGCTACTGGACTGGAAAGGATACGGTATTAACGTCAATGGCGAGTACATCACTCACCTTTGATTTGCTAACGATATAGTACTTATGGCAGAATCGCTGGAGGACCTAAGCACTATGCTAAATGACCTTAATAGTGTCTCCCAACGGATAGGCCTTAAGATGTACATGGACAAAACAAAAATCATGTTTAACGTCCATGTCACACGTATGCTGGTAGTTGTAGGGAGCATTAAGCTCGAAGTTGTTGACGAATATGTTTAGCTGGGACAAATATGTAGTCCGACTAGGTAAGTCCACCTTCGACCGAGAGGTCAATCGACGGACTCAACTCGGCTGGGCAGCATTCGGGAGATTACGACACATCTTTTCGTTAGACATACTTCAAAACTAGATTGTTCAACCAGTGCGTGTTGCCAGTGATGACCTATGGAACTAAAACGTGGTGCTCCACTGCTGGCCGTATGAGGAAGCCCAAAGTCGCTCAGCGGGCTATGGAGAGGGCTATGCTCGACATTTTTCTGCGTGATAGACTTAAAAACGAGGATATGCGCAGTAGAACCAGAGTAACCGACATAGCCCAAAGAATTAGTATGCCGAAGTGGCAATGGGCCGCCCATATAGGTCGAAGAACCGACAACCGATGGGAAGAAAGATTCTCGAGTGGTAGCCTCGTACCGGCAGGCGAAGTGTAGGGCGTCCCCCGCTAGATGGAGTGATGACCTGGTAAGACATGCAGGAAGTCAATGGATGCAGGTGACTCGGGACCGTGCTTTGTGGCATTTCTTGGGGGAGGCCTATGTTCAGCAGTGGACTTGTGAAGTGCTGTAATGATGATGATGATGATGACCGAATGACTACCCCGGTATTGTTTCACAAGTCGTATCTTTAACCTTTCCGCATAGCCGGAGACTAAGGACTAAATACATGGACCGGATGTAGTCTTACCAATGTTTTCTTATTTTACAAAAGTTGTATTAAATTTCACAAAAATTTAATTAGCTTAATTATAAATGGATTTTAATTAATTTTATTTATTGTGTTTGCGATGTTTTGAATAAAATTAATAGCCTGCGATTAATTAACCACTGGAAATGGTAATTTATATTATTTAGAATATGGTAATCCCTAACACAAGCGTGACAAGTGTAATCTGTTGGAGAAGTTTATGTTGAGCAGTGGACTCGATACTACTAAACTGTAATGGTAATGCACGTTTTTAATAAATGCTGTATTCTATACAGCATTCTGCATGAGATCATTTTCCATCAGTTAAACTGTCTGCTCGTTTGTTACCCTTACTTTTGTAAAAAAAAATGTTAGTCTAATACTTTGAAATTAATCTTACACAAGAGTTTTGTTGAAATGATCCATTGCGCTAATTGTGGCCTGGTTGGGCGAGCATATGGTAATGGCGGGGTAAGGCAAGTTGTGGAGTGACTTGTATTGATTTTCAATGGTGATTCGAGTGGGCATCTCATCAAAGCGGTAGTACAGCAGTAAGCTTAGAATGCAAGCAGTGCACAGAGTCAAAAGCATTGTCAACGTCCAGAAGCATCTGTAAGGAAACATCTTATTTTACACATAAATGAGACGTAAGTATAGTTTAAAAACGTGTAAAATTTTTAGTAATTTGTGCTGCGGTCACAAGGCAACACTTTATATGCTTTTCTATTGTTCGATTGAAATCAAATAAACGCCGAGAATTCATACGATTCCGTTTCATTCTTAATAAGTTCAAATATGTTTTTTGACAACAGCTAAGTATCAATTATCCATAAAAAGTTAGGGCAAGTTGTTAGACGGGTACAGAATGCTCATTCTGGACACGTATTCTTGTGATATTTATTTATTCGGTTATTAACTGATAATAACGTTATTTTATCGTTCTGTGTAAAAGAGTATCTATAATAGTTTACGCTACTGTAAACAATATGTTTTCAACTCGTAATCAGGCTTGCTTGACAAGTCTTGTGAGTATTCAATAGGGGAACTTTTGAACACAAATATAATAATCAGATTGCACGAGTGACTTGATGCATTATATAACAGTTTTTTTGCACTTTTAACGATGCTCCCTGTCACCAGTCTGGGTAATTTATGTTTGTCTTAATATAAGAGAGATAGAAATATCGGCCTTTATTTGAAGGAGCTTAGCTTTGCACGCCGCATAACGCGATGCGTTATTAGGAGTGCCTTACTCTCGACGTCAAGGTCAAGCAATTTTGTGTTCTTAAAATGCCTTTATTATAACCATATTGCTCTTATACGATAATATGAGTAGCCGTATATCAAGAAGACACTTTAATTAATCCATCTTATATTTTCAAAAAAATCATTTTACATTTCTACTTTGAAAAAAAACGGTTTGTATAAAATTTTACGAGGACGTCCGGATGTTGATTTTGTATGTGGTCACGATAGTTCCCGAAAAAATTGACGTATAGAGGCCGGGTTTTTTTATTAGCATCTGAATTACATCAACTGGTGTCCTATTTCCTTTGGTTTTTTTTTTTTGTGCGGATGGAAAATCATCAAATGACGCCTTTCGCTCTGGGTGGAGCGGAAGGGAGTGTCAGACTTTTACTGACTAAAAACCATCCGTGTTCCTTCAGTGCCCTTACGTTCCGGAGCCGCGGTATCTCTTTCGAACAGCCCGCAGCTCCGGCATTTCCTATAGCTTAGTATGCGTATTTTGTTAATAAAATGATTTTCAACTTTTATAAGTTTTATTGATATTAACTTTCATATTTTTTCAGCCCTAGATAAACAACGGACAAATAATGTGTATCGATTTTATACTTTGCGTAATCGATTTGTTTTGGTAACCATTATTAATTTTTTTCCTGTAGGTGACACTTTCTGTTAAATAATAGAGCGCTAAATTTAAAACAGATAAAGAATATATTTTAAGTCAGATATACAATATATTTCTTTTATGAAAATTAAATGAACCGCTCATGAGGCATGCACTTTTGGATTTTCCAAACTTTTTCCAAGTTTCCCCGTAGTCGCTTTTTAGGACACGCATGGGTGGCGACATGTCGGGGTTTGATAATAATATTATGCTATATGCGATCAACGTGTACACAATATAATAAATACACGAATATTTTTTTATAAAACTGAAATGATAAACGATCTTACAGTCTAGCTGATGGTAAGTAGCTGCTGCAGCCAATGGACGCCTGCAACCAACTTGTAATAAAGAAGGCTACAGGAGCGTTGTCACATTTGAGCACTAATATGGAAGGTACGAAGGTTCGAAGGTGTATATCTCAATTCCATCTTATGTATCTAATACTTAAGACGGTGGCACATACCTACACGCACTCCTAGGCAAAGAAAGATCTCCTAACACCCTAGTACATAATATATACCAAATTGTAATTATAATAAACATATATTAAATAGTAAATATATTACTTATATATACTTAATTGTAGTATAAAAATACCTCGAAATCCGATCTGGATACAAATAAAAGTACTTAAGTCCTAAAACACTTCCTTCTAAGCAGAACTTTTTTAAAAGAGCTCCGAAGGTACCATCCATTTCCAACTGCATCGGAAAAACTCTGTAGTAAATTGAATTCAAACTACGAACACATAAATTCAAGTATGATAAATTATAATCAAAGCCTGTATCTGCCTGAACTGTAATTCACTAATCTTTGATCTACACGCTCATTGTGGAGTCGCGACTAATTACAAATAATATTTAAATTACGCTCAAATTAAAATTAACTATAGTAAATATAAATAAAACTCATGAAAATTAATTTGTATGTGAATTTTTTTTATTATATAGACTTTATAAAATGATGGGTTACTTCATTGGTTATCACTGCAACTTATTTTGACATTTAAGAAGCTATAACACCTCACTGAATAAAGGTTTTTTTTAATACAAGTATGGGTGACGAGCACATAATTCATAATCTACATGAAGGTAAGCGGATGTTGTGGCCCATAGATACCTAATTACATCTATCCTCGATTAAGAATCAAAATGTAAATGCGTAATGAACCCTGACGTCTAATATGCAATGCTCAATTGTCAGTAAAAGGGTATTATTCACCGTAACAAACATAGCAGCATTATCCTGCTATTTCACGTTGGTATTCTGTGTAAAGTTGGTCCTTTCCCGGTCAACTCGACCAGAAAAAGCAAGTTCATTGTTCTCAAAGGTGCATCGATAATATGCTGGTAACATGGCTCTACTACATACTTGCATTCTCTAGAACAGTTTGAAAATTTTCTCGTGGGATTCTTCATCAACCATTTTAAAGGCACTGCTCGATATAGGCCCTTTCATGAATGCAGCAAGTGACAAGGAACCTTCAAAGATTTACCTATATCCACCACGCTGTCTGCAGATAAGTTGATGTGCCGATTCTCTCGCCCTCGTAATGCTACTCTGCATCACTAGTTGAAACCAGTTGATTTGGAGTTTTTTGGAATATATATGACACGGCTAAAAGCCGAAGTACGTATACACTAAAGTTTAGTTGGCTACAACTATAGGTGCAGCTGATTACGGTTGGTAAAGCTTAGGTAGTAGTGTTAAATTCGTAGTTGCCCGTCACATTACGTGGGCTTTCTTGATAATGAGCATAATAAGTGAGTTCGCGGTTTTACCGCTCTCGTATAACGACTAAAAATGTGCCCCAATAGGTAGATCGTAACGGAAGGATTTATATTCAAATCTGACTTATATGGATTATAAAAAAATATATTCAATTTTGAAAATAATAGTACAATTTATTTCAAATCATTCACATGCCAAGGTACAAAGATGATCATAGTTGACGATCTATCTATATATTCCCGGCAGTACAACTCTATGATATACATATATGACCGTAACGAACGTTCACGTAAACCACCATTGCCCTAAATTATCCTGAGGTCGCCCGCGTAAACCAAGACTGTGACGAATGAAACTGTATGAGGCCAATGATTGTATGGATACTTTGAATGAAGCCTACAATAAATACCAACTAAAAATAAGTGAAAGTAGTAAGTAAGAAAGATCCTCCCTTCCTATCCCAATGCATGCAAATGCAAATGAAAAGGTAAAGCTATAGTAGTAGTGCATAATTATGTCGTTTTCTTCATAAAATGTTTATTTTCAACAGTTTCAACAATAACATTACAAAGTTATAATGCAGCTAGTTTTAGGTCATTTTCTATGGAGTTGAGCGAAATTTTTAGTAATTGAAGTGTATTTAGTAAGTTGGTCGACTATTACTAGTTAACTTCTTAATTCTACTTAGCTGTGATAGTTTTCCTTTTAATTTCATTATATTAGTATATATGTATAAACTATCGTGTATACTTTTCAAATTTCCAAAAACAGCGGCTCAATTGGTAGAGGGGGGGGGGGGGGGACACACATGACTAATGAAAAATACCACTTTAAAGCTAAATATTTCGCTAACGGACTCCTGAATCGAAAAGATGTTGCTCCACTCCCCCAGTGTTCTTGAAAGATTTATCCAACGTTACCTATTCATGACGGAATAGACGGGTAAAAAAAATCATCCTCCATTTACTTGTATGGGATGGGATATTTTTTAAAAAGAAAGAAAAAAAAGAAGAATGGGTAGTACCTACCCAAAAAAAATGTATTTCTAGATTTTATGGCAAACATTACTATCTATAACTATGCCAAATTACAGATTTGTAGCACCTATGGCTAGTCTCCGTTAAGACCGGCCGCCATGAACTAAATTCGGTCTTAAGAACATTACAAGTACTTTTTTTGTTTTACTTGGGGAAATGTCTTCGCATACCCGCCTCGCGGGGGAAGGACGGGTTTTGTCGGACTAGCACCGACTAACTCCATGTTGTTTCAATTTCGTTGCATATAGGCAGGGCCGCGGGAATTCTTTCGTACATATCCGCGGTCCGACCAGAGCCGGTCGCCCCCTGGCGGCCTCTCCTCGCCCATCTCCTTCTCAGGTAAGGCGCACCAGAAACGTGGCGCACTTTCCTCCGCGGCTTCCATGTTCACCTGCGCAACGGACGCCCCCGTGTCCGATGTCCGCGATTCATAGCGGACGGACGGACGGACATGGCGAAACTATAAGGGTTGCTTGTTGTGTAACTACGGAACCCTAAAAAAGCCTTTAAACATTTTTTAAAATAGTAATATATGCATGCTAATTATTGCTTGTTGAAGTTGAAGTTAGTCACGCTAAAGCCATTGCTATTTATCCCTCAGAATCTATGTTTATAACAAATTATGTTTTATATATTATAATTATTCACATTTTACTTTGACGGCTCCGTGGCGCAGTTCATTAGTAATGAGTTGCAGTGCTACTGGCCGCGGGTACTAATCCCGCGGCCAGTAGCACTGCACCGGATGTTCAGCTTGCTATCTTGCTTGCGCAATTAATCATTATCAGTAATAAGACAGCGTAACGCACTATACATTCAGTATAGAGTAATTACAGTTCGACCACACCGTTAAACGTCCCCGCCACAATCACACACCAGTGTAACGTGAGGTACGTGATTACATGATAACACCAAACTATGCAAACCAACTTAAACACTTAGCTCAATGTAAGACAGTGCAGTCTCTCAGCAACACCATCCTCCTTGCTCGTAGCATGACTTCACTCTTAGAATGACTCAAGCGGAAACTCTCGCGCAGTTTAGTTTCTATGATGTTAATGCTGTTAATGCTTTTAGTGCAATGTTGCGAGTGCAACGTTGCACTAAAATCGATAAACTTAGGGGAATAATATTGTGTTCAGTTCTGTGATTGTATTAACATAACATGGATGAGTTATCTAACGGCCATCCGAACAGGGGGTGACGGGCCATGGCTCTGACGGCTAACTCGTACCGTTAAATGTTCTGGGCGGTGAGAACCGCCCAGGGACGCGGGTGTACGGTGTGCACGCGGTGTGAAGGGGTGTGTACGCGGTGTGGAGTGGTATGTACGCGGTGTGGAGGGATGTGCGGCGCGCCCGTCTGCGGACTGCGTCCCATCCGTTGTTGTCCTAACCGTGTTTGTGGCACTAGGTGATTGTGTAGTGTTTGTGTGTGACTGGCCGGCGACATTTCAGTCGTCGGAATGTAGTGGAACAGGGGCTTCGATTAGTACGTTGCGGGGCTTCCGGAGGGTTTGCGTAACGTTCGGAGTCGGAGTGTAGGTAGTTGCGTTTACCACTAGCGGGTTGGGGTGTGTCTCGACCCTTTAGAAATAGCGCCGAGACATATCCTTGAAATATTCAGAGATTGTCGGAAGTTGACAGTCTCTGTATAGGTTGGAGTTCTGCTGGTAGTACTGAGCTCCGGTGGCTATGCGAATGAATTTATTTTGGACAACTTGGAGGTCGTACAAATGACTAGGTTTCGCGTGCGCGAAAACTACGCTTGCTTAAGACATGATAGGTCTTCCGCACGTTTTAAGGTGGAGTTTGTGTCTTAAGGACAGTTTGCGCTTCCTGTTAACTAACGGGTGGAGGCGACTAGTGACGAACTTTGAACGATTTCGGAAATCGCAAATGTGCTTCACAAACGTTATACCTTGATCGAATGTGACCCCTAGATATTAGGCCGTTGGTTGCCAGGGGACCTGGCGGCCTTACAGCATGATCGTATCTAACGATTTCTTGGAGTTTCAGATTTGACGATTGAAAGTGGAGATCCTTTGAAAGTGTATTGCTACACTTTTCTCAGGATTCACTTCGATTCTCTATAAGCGGAACCAATCGCCTAGGCGGTTGACGGCTGTTTGGAGTATCTTGGTGAGGAATCTGTTATTGGGATGGGCAACGAAAAGTGCCGTGTCATCTGCGAAAAGAGCAGTATTCACTACTGGATCTTTCGGGATGTCAATCGTGAAAGTGTGAAGAGTAGTGGGGAGAAGATGGAGCCTTGTGGGACTCCAGCCTTGAGGGTACTCGCCCTACGCTTTGTAGAGCGAGTACCCTATATTCGATAGCGAAAGTGGCAATTAGCAAGAAAGGCTCCGAGGATGTGGATGAGCCTAACAGGCACCTTGTTTATACAGCTTGTTGAGCAAGTCGTCATGCAAGACTTTGTCAAACGCTTTTGCGACATCGTAGAAGAGTGAGAGAGTATCACCGTAACCGGTGGTTATGGTGCTATTGTGACTTCTTTGTGAAAGGTTGAATCCTTTCAGAATATATTCTGCGAGGCGATGTAACTGGTCGGTGCAGTTTTCGGGTCTGAAGCTCAACTGCTCGGCTGGAAGAAGTTTGTTGTACGAAGGCGATTCAATATGAGTCGCTCATAAACTTTCCTTAGTGTACTAGAGGAGACTAATTAGTCTATAACTAGAGGCTAAATTGCGCGGTTTCCCCGGTTTTGGGATACCTATTACATCTGCCTCTTTCAATGCATCCGGGAAGGAGCAGCTGGAAAGAAGAGGGTTGAATATGCCTATTAGGAGGTATAGTAGCGGCGCGGAGAGAGATTTCAGTACCCTGTTGCTAATGCCAGCGGTGCCGGGTTTCTTTTTAAGGTTTTTAATTACTTTTGTGACTTCGTCGACAGTGACAGGTTCCAGG